TTTGTAAGATAATTTAATTATTCACTTTTTTTTTGTAATCACAATCTTTCAGTACTGTAGCGTTTAACTTTGTTGTTATATACTCGTATTTATTAAGCTTTTCTTAATGTAGTTGCTGTTATAGAAAGCGCACATTTCTTACGTTTGGCGGTTTTGATAGGATTTTGAAATTAATTTTTATTGTCTTTTTGTTGTGAAACGTATTTCAGGTTAAAGGTTAATAATTATGAATGGGCTCATAAAATCTTATCTCGAACTTTTGAAAAAGGAAAGAGAACACTTTTATTTTGAAAATAAATAAACAGATATCTGTAACCATTCTAGTTGTGTTAATGAAAAAGTTTCGTAGATATAAAATTAACCCGTGTTTCATGACAAAACTAAGAAGCTAGTTATAATATGCTTTATTATTTGTACTGTGAGACTGAAGATAGAGAGAAATTTTAATTAAAAAATTTTCACGGGTGTCAAATTTGTAAAACAATTGGATCAACCAGTTCTTTATATATTCCAAAAGAAAATATTATCAGATTAAATTGGAAATGTCTAAAATTTATGGATACATATATTAAATATTTTGGTATTTTGGTACTATTATGAATATTCATTAGACATTTTCTCATTAGCTATTGATTAACTCTTATATAATATAATTTTTGTAAGTGAGCTCAATATTTTTAAATGGATTATGTATTTTGTTATTAAAATCACAACATAACTTTATTCACGCAAACAAAAAATTATTGTTCAAACTGTAATGATGTGAATGAAAACGAAAGAGCATGCTTTTTTTTTCATGTTATTTGTTTCAATGGATATTAGCACTATTTTGTTGATTTTTACCCTAAAATAGAGTTATTTCTCAAAGTTACGCTTTCAGTTATAATATGCTGTTTTAGATTAATCTTTATTAATATTGATTTGTTTGTTGTGGAAGTATTTGAAAAGATTAATGTTATTTGGTTATTAACATGAAATGACTTGTTCCAATTTTGCTTCTGAACTTGGTTTGTAGTCTTGAAATTATGTCATTGTCTATGAATGAATTTCTAAACAACATCAACATCAATAAACAAACGCATTAGACTTTTAGATTAAAGCTGAATTTGAAGTTGTTTTTCGCATTTTCAACAGTTTTTTCCACTTAACAGCATAATGTAATTAGGTTTGTTCATTCATTGTGTTGTTATCACTTTAAAATCGATAAATACTAAAAGATATTTAAGAAACCAATTTTTGTGAAATAAAACGTGTAAACTCAGAGATGATTTAATCAAAAGAGCAGTTTTTTGCCGCGAACTCAACACTTTTTTGTCACAAACTATGGATTGTCTGATTTAAAATTTTGATGACAATATGTTCAGACAATTTAGTTATTAAGATTATAGAACATTTGATCTCATATGAAACATAGAAAATGGAAACTGTATATAAAACTATTCATTCACAAAATTAGATAATTCATAATTAAATGAAACCAATAACCAGATAGAATTTCGAGGGTGACATTATTTTTTTACGTTGAACTGAGAAATAAACAATATAGATGAAAAGTTTAATGACGTCACAGGGTAATAGTTTTAAAAGTGTCCCAAGAAAGTTGATCTTTTGATCAAATCTTGTGCATATGGATTGATTTGGATATTTTCGCACAAGTTATATAGATTTGGAACTGATAGACATCCCTCTTATAAAGAAAAAATGGCTCCAAATTGTGGATCGCAAACTTGTTGCAGTAATGGGACGTGAACCATGGACCTTCGGATTTACAGTCCAACATAGTAACCTAAAGGTCACTCCCGGATCGAAATTTTGTGGAATGTGTTCATGTTAGTGATTTAAAGTGTAATGGAAGCAATAAGCAGAGAGAATGAAAAAAGGCTAAATGTTTATATCAGTATAAGTAATTAACACATTTATAATCATAATGCAATCTGAATAGTTTGATATTATTATTATTATTATATGAATCAAGCATAATAACGACTTAGTGGAATATTTTTCGCGTTAGAGTGGTGTAACCATTACAGCTGACTAAGTAACGAGACTCATTAGGCCTAATGAATATAATACAAAATCATATTTGAGTGCAGAAATATGTGAAACTTGTTTCGTAAATTCACTACACAAAGGCTGCACGCGCCAATCGTCTCTAATTTTAAATAGGTAGAATAGAGGAAAGGCAGCCAATCAACAGCATCTACCATCAAATTTTGATGTAATATATATATATATATATATTGCGTTAATGGTACAGGAACCACTGAACCTTGAACCCAGAGTCTGGCATGCTAAACCATTGGGTTGCGCTCGGCCCGTTTTCAGACAGAGACCCTTCTTTATTATGTTGCGTATTGTTGCCTGGGCCACGTGGACGTCATTTGTCACTGACTTTTGTGTTTGTGGATTCACACCTGTTGTACTTTGTTTACTATGGCTGAACTTTGACTTCTTGCAGGTCTCTTTCTTGATGGTTCAAAAGTTTACCCATATTCCTTTGTTACCACTGCCTTTAAACACAAGGGATATCCCCGTCTTAAAAACTCAAAATCTTTTACTTGAACTCATCTTAATGATTTTTTTACATACCATTCTCAAAAGTGATCAATGTTTGGTGACACCACACTACCTAGACAACATTATACAATATCAAAATGTATGTCGTCCCCTGATGAGATAGCGGTAAGTCTACGCACTTACAAAGCTAAAGTATGGGTTTCGATTCCATGCAATGGACACAGGAGATAGGCCAATGTGGCCTTGCTCTAAAAAAAAATCAAACAAAACTGATAAATGTCGTTTCATGGCGACTTTATATCGACTACGGATATCACACGACGTGATGGTTTATATATTCAAAATCGTTTTGATATAACGCAGTCAACCCTCTGTATATTGATGAACTTTATTATAGATATGAAGTAAAACTTATGGTTTACAATAAGTTTATCATTTTTCAGAAAATTGATTTAATAGTATAAACATTTAATCATTGTGGACCCATTTTTATCTAAACTTAGATAGGATTTTTGGATTATTTACATTAAATTCTGTATTCAATCTTAAAGAATTATCAACAAACTTATGTTGTAAACATTACGTGGAATCCATTATTAAAGTAATTTACAATTTCAAGCATCTTCAACAAAAACTAAAAAAAAATTGAAAATGTATAGCCGAGACGGCTGGTATGGGTATTAAAAACTTTAATTAAAATAAAGAACAAGAACAACGTTTCGACCTTCTTAGGCCATCTTCAGGTAGGTACGCCCCCTACAATCTCGTACCCGTTCACACTCTCGTCCCCAAGACATGGGCCTAGTAACGGTCAATTTCAAACTGTCTTTGTTAACCTGAAGATGAC